GTGGGGGCTAGGAGGGAGGACACTAGGTCCCCCTTTTTTTACTTTAGGGGCCCCACCCGCCATTCAGGGGTGGGGGACCGGGGGGGGCAATAGGCCCCCCCTTCAGGTTAGGAGGGGGAGGGGGGATGTTTTTTTGTTTTTTTTTTACATTGACCAGCTCACTGTTTAATAGACATGCCCCTGCTCGCGGTATAGCGAGTAGGGGCATAATTTACTAATACAAAGTCATCTTTACTTAGTATTAGTAAATTTGGCTGCAAGACCAATTCAGGTCTTTCAGCCTTTTCATAGATAGCTCTCTAATACCGTGGGAATTAGAGAGTTATCTACTTATTCATTCCTGTCATTACATTGACTGGCCAAGTAACTTACATTTTATAGGAATGTATGTTACTTGATTGTTGTAAGTGTTGCAAATGCTTACAGCTGAATCCTGGCTATGTTTGTATACTTTTTATTTAAAATAGTATAGAGTGTAACATTCTTCTTCTTCCACTGGGTAAGTATATTAGTACTTCGGCAATACTGTGCTTCGGAACTTCGGCAATTCGGCACTTCGCCAATTCGGTAATTTCGGAACTTCGGGACCTCGGTAATTCGGCACATCGGCTATTCGGACATTCGGAAGTACCCGAATGTCCGAATTGCCCGAAATTTGTCCGAATTCATATTCGACCCGAAACGAATTGCACATGTCTAGTGACCACAGTGTCCCTTTAAGTATTTGTTTATTTACATAATTCATTAGAATGGTGATTACTGCTGTTTAAGATTAAATTTTGCCATGTGGGAGTTTTTGATGTACCAATCAGGATCATTTATAGTACTTTTTGCTGGTCTTTTTTTTTTTTTTAGTTCTCTCACATTTGTTTATGCTGTAGTTCACTATTGTAAATAATTGGTTTTGATTGCAGTCTATTTATCCAGTAGTCTAGAGGTTAGCCACTAAGGGCATGGAATAGCTACAATCTCTGTCACAAAGGAAATTGTGTAATTTTTTTTACTGTATATAAAACCCATGATATATGTATTAAATCACTGCATGGAAATTATTGTAGTTATTTTATGACTCTTCTGAAAGAGTAAGGTTGCTAGAGAATTGGAATTCCTTGGTCCTTGAGGAGATACCTTTCTATAGAATTGGCTATAGCATTTATAGGGCCGCATTTAAAGATTTGGGCTTCCCATGAAATGCATTATATATGTGCTACAATGTGTCAGTGTAATAAAATGAAATAGATCTGTCTTTTTATTTATATCCTCTTAAGTCTCCTTATAATGTAATATTTAACGGTCTATTTATTTTTTTACAGTGAGTTGGTATTTATCTAAATAAAAATATTCCCAAATCAGGCAAGTTGGAGATATTGTCCAAATTGGGAATTTTGATCGCGCTTCTGCAAGTTTGTTTAGTGATATTGAACCATATAAATAATATCCAAAAAGAAGTTATATTCAAAGATTATTCTGGTGTTTCTATACAAAAATAATACTAAAGAATAAAATGGCTTTTAGGTGTACCAACAAATTATAAAAATAAAATAAAAATATATAGCTATACATATAATTACATTGTTATATAAGCTGAAAGAAGACTTGCATCTATGGATCCGGAAGTCCCTCTAGTAGCTGTCTGGTAGACAGCCACTAGAGGAGGAGTTAACCCATAAAGGTAATTATTGCAGTTTATAATTTTTTTTTAAATATTTACCTTTGTAGGGTTAAATATGAGCTGAAGTAGTCTGGGTGCCTATAGTATCCCTTTAAGTAAAAAAAAAAATGTAATTTCAACTGTGCAAGATATGTTGTTTTTTTAACATTAATCCTGTTTTGATCTATTGCTAAGTCACTATTGCGCAACTGAACTAACAACCACATGACAGTCACATAACTTTATGACCACTGTTCAAGAAACCTGGCTTTTTTGTTAGGTCATCTATCTGATTAGCTATCTACCTGTATTTTTCTAGAAATTCACATATTTTGTCTGTTACACCTGTAAATTCAGGTCAGGTTCACACGAGAATACATTTCACATGAAGGGGCAAATTGTACAGAAAAGTAGATTATAACTATAGCCAGCAAGAATTCTTTGAAGAGAACACAAAATAGGAATGAAATGTATGCTTAGTATAGTCACTTCTTCAGAAAAAAAATGCATAGGGATGCAGAAAATCCTGCATCGTAATTTGTGATTTTGTTCTAAAGGGAACCCATTTAATTAGTGCAAGAAGGTATTGAATTTTAGCTTATCATGCATATTGTTTTCCAGCTGTACAGAGCATTGCCAAGTTTTTAATGACCTGACCCTGCTCTTTAAATCAGCAGTAAACTGCAGCATTTATTCAGAGCAAAGGCAGAGGGTTCATTCTGCTGGGTTTGTTCTGTCACTGAAACTCAGGTTACAGGATTCATGGTTTGATACTAATCATCTGTTCCCTGCCTTCTGAGGATGTAAACACGCAGAGAATCAAATGCCATCTAAGAAAAGATCTTTGATGATAGGAAACACACTTGGTCTATTCCAACTCAGAGACATCACAGACACATTGCCTCTTTATGCTAAAACTCAACAGCACTCGGGGTCCAATAAATAGTCTGCTTGTGACAGCTCAGTGGAGAAGAGAGGTTTCCTCCAGACGTTACTTGTGCTAAGAGATTCATCATCACCTGTACTCTTGAAATAAATCTCCGATACTTACAACTGTAATAATCCATGCTTTACATTTTATTACAGATGTAGGTAGATGGTCATTATTGCTGACACTTTTTCAGCTCTACAAGGAAGACTCCAGGGAAAAAACGAGCACACAGTGTTACAGAAAGGAATTACTATAAACAAATGTAAAACAGTTACTTAAGTCAGTTCGGCAGTCAATAGAATTTGCTCCTAATGTTTTACATTCATAAAAGTTACAAATGGAATGTTAACATTCTAGGTATGAGACTGGGTTTACCAGATTGTGTGGATGCAATAAAGATAAAATGACATCAAGCAGAATTATCACCAGTAATGTTACTGATTAAGGGAAGTACGAACATACATTATAAATTGAATATTTGCTCACTTTGAAAATGTTATAGTACAGAAAAAAGTGACGACTTACATATTTTTTGCATTTTATGCACTGATAAATGCTAAGTTGATCACATAAGGATGTAGGCCATCAGGGTTTGATTATATCTTGGGGGACCTGCAAAACAAAGTAGCTTTTGCTGAAATCTGTTGAGGGTGGGTTGATTCTCAAATTTATTGTTATTCAGACATTTTCAGTTAAATTATCCCACATTGCTTTTCATCTCTGTAGATGTAGAAACATTTAAAACCGAACATACTCTGAAGTAACAGCTAAAAATAAATGCAAACTACAATGTCCACATGGAGTGGAACACCGTTGAACTTATGACGAAAGAGATGGGTATTTGTTTGATGCTCTGAATTTTCAATGGCTGCTGGGTAATTTACTCTTTACATACACTAGGAAGTTATGTCCCATTTTACTGCGTCCATGCAACTATGACTCATTTTCTTGTTATTATCCACCCTCACCTCTCTTAGTAGGCACATCAAGGAGTAGAAGCCTCCTGTTTTGATGAAATATCCCATGTGAATATTCTGATGTCACCACACAAGTAATTAGAAGATTTACAACCTGTATCTTCACATCATGGCCAACAAAATTAATAATGGCAAGGAAACCATGTAATTATCACTTCAATCAGCAGGGATAAAGATGAATTAGCAACTAAAAGGTGCAAGATTGTAAATCATATAAACAGGCATCTAACAGTAGAATACACCTATTAAATTATGAAGATTGGTTATGTAACAATGTGTATCACAATGTTTGTAGTGTTAGTCCTGTATCTCTGTGTGTAGCGTGTCTAAAGTCCTATCCGTCAAATGTATTTTGTATATTTACAAACAGATTTTAATATCTGCTTTTGTATGTTGTAAATGTATTTGTGTATTTATATTAAAGCTTTGTTTTCCATGATATAGATATATATATCTTTGGTAGGCTTTTTGACATTTTAATCCCAGTACCTCCCAAAAGCGTGTTTACACATGGTAGCAAAAGTTAGCTACACTTACTTTCTTTTAATTTAGCACTTGTTTTTACCTTACAGTGAAATGAAAGTCTTTTGAAATTATAAGTGTTGCCAATACTGTAGTTCTAAGGTGATCTCAAAATAATCTCATTATTTCTATTACTCTAACTATATAGAAAAATAGAAAGATAGAATGTGACGGCAGATAAGAATCATCTAGTCTGCCCAATTTTCTAAATACTCTCATTAGTTCCTGACCTTATCTTATAGTTAGGATAGCCTTATGCCTATCCCATGCATGCTTAAACTCCTTTACTGTGTTAACCACTACCACGTCAACTGGAAGGCTATGCCATGCATCCACTACCCTCTCAGTAAAGGGGTATTTTATTTTTAAACCTTTGCCCCTCTAATTGAAAACTATGTTCTCTTGTTGTGGTAGTTTTTATTTTTTTAAATATAATCTCCTCTTTTACTGTGTTGATTCCCTTTATGTATTTACATGTTTCTATCATATCCCCCCGTCTCATCTTTCCTCCAAGCTATACATGTTAAGATGCTTTAACCTTTCCTTGTAAGTATTATCCTGAAATCCATGAACCTGTTTAGTAGCCCAAACTCTCTCCAAAGTATCAATATCCTTCTGAAGATACGGTCTCCAGTACTGCATACAATACTCCAAGTGAGGTCTCACCAGTGTTCTGTACAATGGCATGAGCACTTCCCTCTTTCTACTGCTAATACACCTCCCTATCCAACCAAGCATACTGCTAGCATTTCCTGCTGCTTTATTACATTGTCTGCCTACCTTTAAGTCATCTGAAATAATCACCCCTAAATCCCTTTCCTCATATGTTGAGGTTAGGACTCTATCAAATATTCTGTACTCTGCCCTTGGGTTTTTACATCCAAGATGCATTATCTTGCACTTATCCACATTAAATGTCAGTTGCCACAACTCTGACCATTATTCTAGTTTACCTAAATCATTTGCCATTTGGCTTATCCCTCCTGGAACATCAACCCTGTTACATATCTTAGTATCATCAGCAAAAAGACATACCTTACCATTAAGACCTTCTGCAATATCACTAATAAAAATATTAAAAAGAATGGGTCCAAGTACAGATCCTTGAGGTACCCCACTGGTGACAAGCCCATGCTTTGAATATACTCCATTGAATACAATTCCAAGATTTTACTAATTACATGACGTAAAGTCATGATTTTATTAAAGACACGGAGGGGAGTATATATACAATCTCTTTCTTATTTATTCCCTCAGCAGCAAGAAATTTTGAGAGAAAATGGGAAAAAACTTTAAACATAAACATAATCTGCCTAGAAACAGTGGCAGCCAATAATGTCACAGTGTCCATATGAAAAGGGCTGTCATCTGTCACTCTTCCTCTTTCTGTCTGCGACCTTCCATAGCACAACTTAACATCCAATAACGTCCAAACAGTTGATGACGAAATTATCCTTATTCACAATTTAGGCTGTAAAGAAAAGAAACATGTGGTAAAATCTTATCTCCCAACTATTTGTATATCCTATAACGATATAATCATACATATCAGCAATCCAACCTAACCAAAATTACTCCTTATCTTACTCTCAAAGTCTAAACCTATGAAACAGTTCCATCATGTCGTATGAATCTTACTGTAGATCCTGGGTCATAAATATATAACTGTATCCCTTTATGCGGATGGGCGGGAGGGAATTATACTCGCCTCCGTGTCTTTAATAAAATCATGACTTTACGTCATGTAATTAGTAAAATCTTGGAATTTTATTACAGACACGGAGGCTCGTATATATGCACTTTTAAAGCTGATCAATAATCCTTGAGGAAAAATGTTCGATAGGGCAACAATAAAAATCCCTAAACGTAGACTCATTAGACCAGTTGGCCGCTTTCAGGATATCCTCTAAACGACAACCTAAGCTTTGGAGGCCATCGCTCCTCGTACAGAATGAGGTGAAAAATCTGATACATCAATTCCTGCCGCAGAAAGTATCCATCTTGCCCAGCGTGCCAAAGTGGGAGATGAGACTGGGAGATGTGGTTTCCGAAGAGAAATAAATAATGCTCCTTCCTGCGGAGACCGAAGGGGGGCCGTATATTCCAGATATGCCTTCAGACCTAGTACTGGGCACAGATTAGGTTTGCTAGGAAAGCCTGGATAGAATACACGTTTGGTTGATGTCTTGGTTCTTCACAAAATGTTGAAAACCACTCTGCCCGATTGAAAGATGATGGCATTCCAGTCTAGGGCCCTGACATCTGAGACCCGTTTACATGCAATTAAACACAGGAGAATGAGTAATTTTGCGTTAAGTTGTTTAAGTGAGAGCTCTTGATTTGTCGGCCACGTATCCAAGAAGTTGAGGACTATGTTGACGTCCCAGAAGGTCGAATATCTGGCCATTGGAGGTCTCGACATTCTAATCCCTTTTATTAGTCGGCAAGTTAAGGGATGGTCTCCTGCCGTATTTCCCGTAAATCCCTGATGGCCTGCTGCTATAGCCGATCTGTATACATTGATCGTACGATAAGCTTTTCCTGCTTCATAAATTCTGAGGAAGTGTAAAATCTTATTCAGAGGGGTAGATATGGGATCCACTTCCTTTGCCAGGCACCAACTAGCCCATGATCTCCATGCTGACTGGTAAGCGTGTCTAGTGCCTAGTGCCCATGCCTCTGCCAATAGTGTGAGACTTGATTGCGGAACATCAGGGATGGTCCAGGGTCCCCTGAAAGGAGCCACGCTATGAGGCGTAACAGACCTCTGTTCACTAAGTCGTGTGAGTTCCCGTCCGGGTCGTTAACAAATCCGGCAGATTCGGCAGCAATCGTGGGAAATCTATTGACATCTCTAGTAGTCTGGGGAACCACGTTTGTGCTCGCCATAACGGGGTAACTAATATTAAGGTACCTTTGCACCATCTGAGATGGATGAGAGTCGGCGGTATGAGGTTGAACGGTGGGAATGCATAATGCCTTGTCTGTGGCCATACTTGTACGAATGCATCGGTCGCGAGAGCCTCCGGGTCTGGTCTCCAGCTGTAGAACCTCGGAAGTTGTGTGTTCAACCGAGAAGCAAATAGGTCGATGTCCAGTTGACCCCACAGTGTTTGTAGCTGAAGAAAGGTCTGCCTGTGCAGCTTCCAATCTCCCGAATCCCTGAGGTATCTGGAGTTCCAATCCGCCATGGAGTTGTCCAGCCCCGGAATATGTTCTGCAATCACGTAGATGTTGTTGTACAGACAGAAGTGCCAAAATTATTTGGCGAGGAGGGCTAACATCTTTGATTTCGTGCCCCCTAGATGGTTTATGTATCTCACCGCGGACACATTGTCCATTTTGAGTAGGACACAGCAAGTAATGTTGGTGGGAGTAAGGCTCCAGATGTTGAATGACCCCGCCAAGAGTTCCAGACAGTTGATGTGGAGCCATGTTTCTTGTTCCGACCATCTGCCCCCGGTAGAAATATCTCCACAGCACACGCCCCAGCCGTATGAGCTGGCATCCGACTCTATAATCAGGTCCAGTGTTGCTCCGAATATCGCTCTGCCATTCCAGGCTTCCATGTGGGCGAGCCACCAAACTAGTTCCTCTCTGGACTCTGTGTCGAGAGTAAGACGTATTTCGTATGTGTGGCCAGTACGGAGATAGGAGCCCTTGAGTCTTTGCATTGCTCGGTAGTGTAGTGGGCCTGGAAATATCGCCTGGATGGATGAGGCAGCAGGCCTATGATTCGTGCCAGTTGTCGTACCGATAAGTCTGGAGCATGTAAGATTCGTCTGATTTCCTTTTTTATGGTTTTGATCTTGTCTTCCGAAGCCAGAGGGTCTGATGAATGGAATTTATTTGGAAGCCTAAAAATTCTATGTCTTGTGTCGGTTCTAAGACCGACTTCTCCCAGTTGATAAGGAAGCCTAGGTTCTGTAGGAGGTGCAGTGACCATTCCAAGTGGGTAAGCAGTAGGGACGGTGAGCTGGCGAGAAGGAGGATATTGTCCAGGTATATGAGGAGTCTGACCCCTCTTGACCTGAGGAACGCTATCACCGGCTTCATCACTTTGGTGAAGCACCATGGTGCCGAGGATAGGCCGAATGGGAGGCATTTGAAGTGCCATTTCCTTCTTTGCCATGTAAAATGCAAGAAGTCTCTGTACTCTTCCACGATGGGAATTGTCAGATATGTGTCTCGCAGATCTAACTTGACCATCCATTCCGCTGGTAGGAGTAAATCTCTGAGGCAGTGAATGCCCTCCATTTTGAAATGTCTGTATTGGATGAATGCGTTCAACTGGCGAAGATTTATCACTGGGCATACTCCGCCTCCTTTCTTTGGCACTAAGAAAAGGGTGCTCGTGAATCCCCGCTGGTTTAATGGAATCTCTTGGATCGCATTTTTGGTGACCAGATCTGAAATCTCCAGGGTAATCAGTAGGGCCTGATCGTGGGGCAGCGATAGTTCTCTTGGGGCTATGGGCTGTATGGGAATGGCTACTAGATCTAAATGGTAACCCTGTACTGCCTGAAGAACCCACCGGTCTGATGTAATCAGATGCCATACGTGGATAAAATTGGCTAATCTTCCACCCACCTTTACCTGGAGGGAAGGAGGAATAAGTACACTTACCATAGGGCCGTCGTCCCGATGCAGCTCCCCTCGATATCCGTGGCTGCCATGGTCTTCCTCTGGATGGGAAGAACGGGGATGGTCTGTATTCCGGTGTATACCTCGGGAATTGGTGGGAACCTCTGTGGGCTCTAGATTGACCCTGATAGATGCGGCCGGGTGAACGTTCCTGGATCTCCCGGCCCCTCCAAAAACCTTGGGTGCAAACACCCTCTTTAGATTGGCTTGTGCCTTATCAATAGCTGTAAACGTTTTAACGTATGTACCCAGATCTCTTACAAACGAGTGTCCAAATAACATGCCCTTTGCAGCCGGGCCAGGCTCGGTAACTGCCATAGATACCAACTTAGGGTCCATTTTTAATAATATTGCCTTACGGCGTTCAGTCGCCATGGCCGTGTTTGCGTTACTCAACAGGCAAATCAAGCGCTGAACCCATCCTATAGCCACGTCAAAGTCCATGGCAGCTTCTCCCACCTTAGTGGATTCTAATAGCTCATAGAGCTTAGCTGTTGGGCCAGTAGTTTCCAAGAGTTTGTCCTGACAGTTTTGAAGTGCAAACTCCAGGCCCTTTTTGGGTTTCCATCCTGACTTTCCCAAAAATTGGGCAATCTTGGGGTCTACTTCTGGGGTTTTACAGGCCTCATCAGGCACAATAGGACGGGGGCATTCCGCTCTGAGTTTCTGGCGTCCCTCTTTTGATAATGGCGTGTGCATATGCAACACTATATAACTTGCTATGTGTGTGGGTGGCTCCCACTCCGCAGAACGCGGGTTGTGCAAGCCTTCCGGGTCGAACAGGGGTTGACCCGCCTCCTGCCCTCCAGAGTAGCGTCTGACACAAGCGGTGTGGAGGTTAACTCCTCCCGTACTTCGAACACAGGTCCTTCCACCTCGGACTCCGCCTCATCATAGGAGGCGTAGTCCGGGGTGTCGGGAACCTCGTCCTCTTCACTCCGGTCGGAGTCCGACCACTCATTTAGGGCACGTGCCCGTTTCCAAGATCTGACCGCTTTTGCCCGGCCAGAGGCTCTTTTGCGCGGCTGTAACGCGCCCTCCTTGATCGCCAAGGGCGGATCAGTCGTTATAGGCATAGCCTTATCAGTGGAGTGGAAGATGAGGTGCTTAGTTTTATTTTTTGCCTTGCGGGACACAACGTCCGCAGTGGCGGATGGGGGATGCACCACAGAGGTAGCTATGTGTGCGTTATGAGCTTGGGATAACGCTTGCGTGAGAGTTTGGGAGAATGAAGCGGACATAGCCCCCATAGCGGAGGCCAGTGCTTTATTTATAGATGCAGCCATGGTAGTGTCCAGGATATTCTGGAATTCCTCAGAGGCCATTAAGGCTGTATCATCAGTTGTGGGGTTTAGAAATGGGTCCACAGTGGGTAACCCAGACCCTTCAGCATTATCAGTTCTGGACTGCATATTGGTATAATCAGGGGAGAGACAAAGTGTAGGGGAAAAAGCTAACAAGTAGCTGGACACAGTAATGAAATCACTGGCAGGGGAATTAGAGAAATAGGGTTGAGTAACCCACACTACAATCAAATTAAACTGACTACTGCACTAAACAGTGAAATGGTTAAATATTAATATTAATATAACTAGTAACAATACTAAGTAATCAATCTGGTGTATACTCTGCCGGAGGAGCCTGGAGCCGTCAGTCAGCGATGGAAGGAGAGAAATCCCACAGCCTTCCCGCCTAAGCGCGCTTTCAGCAGGGAAAGCGCGCCTGATCTATAATTTTACTTACCCAATCAAAAAAAATCAATAAGATTAGTTTTGCATGACCTCCTTGAAGTAAACCCATGTTGTCTCTGATCTTGAAATCCATGGGATTTTAGATGTTCATCAACCCTATCCTTTAACCTGGTTTCTTTCACTTTCCCCACTACTGAAGTAAGGCTTACTGGCCTATGGTTGCCCGACTCCTCCCTATTACCTAATGATAAACAATAAGGAAAATTACGTTTTAGTGATACACCCAAACAAGCAAAAAACATTTGCATCTAAAATTTGCCTCTCCTCATATCATTCTTATATCTTATATTTATAAGTATGGAGAAATTGCACTATCTACATAAAAAAGGAGACATATCTTCCTGGGAACCAAGGAAAAAAATGTCTTCCAAGTTAATACACAAGTTAATGGGCTGGGTCTCAGGAGGATATTCAGTGTATTATTATGTAGAATAAATAATAATCCAACAGGTCACTTATAAATATACCCATATTTTTATTAGTCATTGAATGTAAGTGGTTTTTGTATTTATGGAACAGCCTGCACTATATTTATTGTGTTCTTTTTTTAACATAGTGGGAGCTCTTATACAAAGGAGGAAGAAAGAAAATACCACTAAAAAGAAGGAAAATCATTGTTAAATGAAAGGAAAAACAAGTTTACGTCACTCGTTCTTACCTTTCTGCAGGGAGGTGTGATCCCTGATGGTCCTGTGGTACTGCTGACTGCATCCCTGTTGAACCAGTAGGGAAGTGTGTGGTCTGCAACTCCAGCAGGAGCAGACCACATTAAATGCTCTTCCAGTCCAGCACTATTTGGATGAGTCAGATCGTTACCAAAGTGGCAGTGCTCCTGCTCATTCTCTGAGTGCCAGGACAGCAAGGGAGTGCTTAACCCCTTAAGGACCAAACATCTGGAATAAAAGGGAATCATGACATGTCACACCTGTCATGTGTCTTTAAGGGGTTTTAAATGGACTTTAGAGACACCTAGACCACTTCATCTCAATTAAGTAGTCTGGGTGCAGAGCCCTTGTTTTTTTAACCCAGCAACTAAAAAAATACTGCCGTTTTGAGGAACTCCAATTCAGTGACTGTTTACCTGGCGCAGTGCAACTTTTTTCCATGCATGCACATTAACCTCTCAATGCTTGTCTATGAGGAAACTTTGGATTGGCTTAGATCATCAGTCTTGATGATCTGATCCAGGGAGGCGGAGTGGCACCATGGAGAACAGCATGCCATGGGATGCAGAGATTGACAGGAGTCAGTCGCACTGTCTGTGTCTAGATGGTGGTCTATGTACTGCACATTCAGAAGAAGTCCTTGCGGAACTAAAATAGCTCTAGATGTAGGAAAGAAACCTACTCTGACGCTAAGATTGGTATGAGGAGGTAAAAAAGGGCTTAACCCAGAACGAGCAGTAATAAACAAAATACAAATAAGGACAGGAGCCTAAGAAAAGGATCTTAGACCTCACTAAAATTACCTCCAATTATAGAACATTCTAAGATGATTGCAAATAACATTTAGAACCACAGGCGTTCTCTCTTATCAATCTTCTAATATACACATCCAATCTGGTGTTTTATACTCTGCATTGACTTATGCCCTTCTGGTCATCCAATCTTTACATTTCTACTATTCATAGGACCTGCAACACTGTACAAGTTGCATTTAGGGATTGTATTACAAGTTTTATATGGCTGCTTGTTTACTATAATTACTTTCTAGTGATCTAAGATCTTATGTGAATATCCCGGTTGAATTCTAGATTCCCCATTCCTTTTAATTATATTGAGTAGTCTAGGTGTGGACTACTTAATTCGCTTTACTTTTTTGTTGGGGAGTCACATTGTATGTCTTGTCTTTTATTGGTTCTCTATTATTAATAAAGTTGTATTATTTGCCATTACCTTATAATGTTTTATAATTGGAGGTAATTTCAGTGAGGTCTAAGATCCTTTTCTTAGGCTCCTGTCCTCATTTGTCTTTTGTTTATTACATTTTTAAGCCAATTTACAATCAGTATCATAGCAATGGGATAGCAATGCATTTATTGCAAGATGATAAAATAGACGTCAGGTCGTGATGAAAGGGATGTCTGAAACCAGAGTGGGATACTGACGCCAAAAATCTGGTGTGTTGTTTTGGGAGTTGGTCCCAGACAAAAGGTATGTAAAATATCAATATATTCACTTGAGCTTGCTATAAAAAGTATATTTAAGTAAATGGAGTGGATCTAGGAAATGACACTGCAAGAAACAAAGGGAATTAGGCACATACAAAGAAATAAAGTAGAACATTAGGCTAAGGATGTGTTTTTTAAACAGTCTCCTAACAAGAATTATTTTGTAAAAAAAAGAACCTAGAGCAGTCCACTATATCTGGTACATGTAGTGTACAGAAAGGAATATTAGAGGGTATTACTTTCCTACAACAAAAAGGTAAATCTACACAAAAAATCTATAAGTAATCACAGAAACTACCTTGTATCCACATTGATGCAAGATATCCTGAAGGTCTTTGGAACACAGTAATTAGATGGTACTTAGGATCAATTTCACAGAATCTTAAACCTTTCAAATGAGTCTGTCCTGAAATGAGCCAATTTTTTCATTTCATAGTCTTGGAACCACAGAAGAATTACAGAAACATTTTTTTATTTTCCTTTGCTCTACTGAACCACACCACCCTCAGCCTCATCTCATTCCTTTTGATTCAACCCCCCCATTGCCAACTTGAACCACTTAGCTACCACTCTCTCTTTTGTGAACCGTTGGTCGGATCTTAGGTAAAGGCCCGGCTCCCAAGAAAGGTTCAGAATTTCTACTCTCCCTTTTACCTTCTTGGACTGGCCCGTATTCACTTCCCCTTTACTTCCAGATGACTGCTCTACTGAAATCGATCTGACCCAGACTAGGACACCTCTTAATCTTTTCCTCATGCCCACATCATTGAGATCCATCAGGAACCAGTGCCTTTGCTCCAGCCTTGCCTCAAGACACTCAGCCATCCCATTACGAAAATATTGCAGGTTCATTATGACCCACTGCTAGTTAATACTGTGCTCTACCAAAACCCCAGTTGATGTTACCAAGAAGCTTGCAAACTGCATTGCCTAAATTTGTATTCTTGTTTTGCATGGGCCCATGCTGTTTGAAGTTTTCCAAAAAACTAACAACATCAGATGTCATTCACTGTAATAACTAAATCAAATATTACAAAACACATCAAAAGTATAAAATCGTTTTTACAACTTGCACATTTTTGTAGACAAGTAAATTAGATTAACTCTCAATACAGTGGGATCACCTAAGGGGTCCTGCTATTCATTGAGCTGGGAATTTGACAATATTTTTTCTTCCTCTATGTAAATATCAAATAAGGAGAATGATGAAAATCTACTATCTTTATTAATATATCAATTGATATTGTGATGTATGCATACTATATGAGCATACAATGTGTTTCTGTTCAAATAAAAATAATACAATATTATATCCTTCATTTATTCTTTCCTGTCTACTTCCTTGACTATTTTTTCTTTTCAACTTTTTATAAGATATAGTTAGTATGAGACTTTCTCTGGTTCTACATGTCAGCATTCTGATGACCTCATCAAACTGTGTTCTATTCTGCACGTTTATTGAAAGTTGGTTGGCAGGCATCCAGTCTCCAATCTCCGCTATGTTCCCTGACAGACCTACATCAGCTTCTCAGATTGTGATTGGCATTTCCATTTAAAGATATTTATTCCTTAGATGAACCAGTGGGTCATTGCATGTTCTTTTTCTAACATAAAAAAACCCAAAACATTCCCTTCACTGATACAGGTACTTGTACAAATTTTCTTGCCAATTTTCCTTAGCCATTACAACGCTCCTAATAGCCAACATATATTTCCTACTGATATTTGATAGACAATAACTAGGTTTCCTTTGTGTTTGGACGTTGGAATCCTGGACATTACATCATGCAGTATTCGATTCTTGCAATCTTATTTCAGAAAGGCTATTGATTAGCTCTTTTACATTTTAAAAAGGTCACGACAATAATCCCATCTGTACACAGTGCTAAGTGAAAGCAGTTTGAAAAAAAATTATACAGACACTTCTTTTAACTTCTGGCTCTCAGCCATTTTGCTAGATGTAACAAGGCAATTAAAATGAATGCGATTCAGACGTTTAGAATATTGTTACTGCCTTATTAATGACTTCATGGAGTAAGTTATTTATTGAAGACAATATATTGCTGAAATACTCAAGCCTCTTCTACCATTCTAGTGTTTGTTTTTATGAAGCAATTATTTTAAATAGACAAATAATTTTCACTAATCAAGTAGTGTGAGGATTCGGCACATAAATTAAATGCGTAGAAAGCTTAGACGGTGCTAATGTAATAGTTAGCAAGTGGATAAGTTGCTGAATAAATAAACACAAACAGGTTTTGCATAAACAAACTGTGTGTCTAGCAGTAAACTTTAAACGACTTTAAAATACTATTTTCTAAAGCAGGAGTGTACAAATCGCAGACCCGAACACAACAGGGTCTAGGATCTTATGATATTATCTAATAGTAATAGAGACACAGTTATAACTATAAATCAGCATATTTATTAACTAAAGAGAACTAAAAGGGTCATACTATAAAATGCAATGAAATTCATTCATTTAAAAAAAACAAAAATACATACAAAACCATATCAGTTAAAGACATGCTGATGGCCTCCTAAAAGTACTGAATGATTGGCAGATGGCTTAATTTTCTGACAGTGAATGGGAGAGTGTGTGTGCAGATACATGAAAGGGAAGTGCCAGTCATTGCCAACGTCTTACAGAGTGCTACATTTGTCAAAACACCAGCTCAATTTGTGCTACTGGACATAGAAACATAGAATGTGATGGCAGATAAGAACCATTCGGCCCAATTTTCTTTCATTAGTCCCTGGCCTTATCTTATAGCTAGGATAGCCGTATGCCTATTATTATTATTATTATTATTATGATATTTATAGAGCGCTGTCAAATTGTGCAGCGCTTTACAATGGGCGGACGAACAGACATGTAGTTGTAACCAGACAAGTTGGACACACAGGAACAGAGGGGTTGAGGGTCCTGCTCAATAAGCTTACATGCTAGAGGGAGTGGGGTAAAATTACACAAAAAAGTAAGGATAGTATTAGACTAATGACAGTTGCAGAAGAGAAATCAGTCAGGAGCTGTTAACAGTTTAATTGATACGCTTTTATGAAGACGTGGGTTTTTATAACGATTTTTTTGAAGGAGTGGAGACTGGGTGAGCATCTAACGGAGGAGGGAAGCGAGTTCCACAGGATCCCACGTATGCTTAAAAGCCTTTTTAAGCATTCCACGCATGCTTAAAAGTCTTTACTTTGTTAACCTCTGGACAGCTTCCTGTGTATGGGGAGACAATGTTATGACATCACATCATGCAAAAGATTGCCCTTGCAGCCTCAGCAATGTAAAAACTGCCTTTTCTGAGAAAAGGCAGTGTTTTCCATTGCTTTCAAATGCTACTTCTAGTGGCTCTCACTTAGATAGTCGCTAAAGGGTCTTCCTGGAGTGGTCCTCCAATCTCTCTGTGATCAACATTCAGCATATTCATGCACAGCATGAAAATGCAGAATTCACCCCATAGAGATGCATTGGGCCAATCTATTTCTATGAGAAGATTCTGATTTGCACAGTGTGGTGATTGGCACACATGTGCACTACCTCTTCTCCACCCAAATGCTGAGATGATTTGTAATGATGGTCTCAGCCAGGGGAGGAGAGGCAAGACCAGCAAAACAAGTGACGTTAAATAATTTATTTCATTATTTCATGGGGCACGGACATCTTAATAGTTAGCCAGTGTTAGTACTACAATAACTGGAATACAATAATACAATATATTTAGTATAGTGCTGTGTAGCAGTAGCCCATAGATATCTGTATATTAGTGGCAATAGAAGGGCTAATGTCCTCCCACGCCTCTTGCCAACCCTCCATTGGAGCTACTATTTAGCTATTTAAATCTATGAAGGATATTTACATACCTTTAATCTCACATTGTGCTGGTTTTGCCGAGTCTGCCACTCCCCCCCCCCCGAATGAGATCATCATTAACGATGATCTCAGCCAATCTACTACTTTCCCACAGGGAATTATTGGTGTATCCCAATTAATCAATCTCTATGGGTCATTCAACATCTTCATGTAGAGCACAAAGACTGCAATGGTGATCCTGCAAGGTTTGCACAGCGGTTACAGAAAGGGCCTCTAGTGGCCGTCTTCGCACAGAAAAGGCAGCGTTAACAAATGAGGGTTTGAAGGGACAGTCTCTTTACACCAAAACCACCAAATTAAGTTGTAGTATTTCTGATGCATAGAATTTTCCCTTTACAAGTTAATTCTGCCAAACTTGAAATATTTTGTAGACTTAAAAAAAATATACACAGATACAGAAAGAATTATGTTTATTACTGGGCATGTTTCACAAAGAAAGGTTTTCCACTCACAGAGCAGCTCAGGGCAACCATTTCACGTTAAGCAGTTTCCAGTTAGTGAGTGAAGCTAATGAGATCACATTGATTTTTCATGGTTCATGCTTTGCTATAGACGGTTTTATTTTTGCACTTGCCTTGATATAGCTTTGGTTTGGCTGTTGTATAGCAATAACAGGTAGCACCCATTGTGAGGCTGCACGGTTCTTTCGATGTAAGGTAACCATAAAGGTCAGTGTGTGGATTCAGGAGAATGTCTTGGATTTATTCCAGTCACCCTTTTCTTTTACTGCTTAACTGTATAAGCTCTATAACTGCTTAAACAAATACTTCCCAATGCTTCTTTATCATGACACCCTCATTTATCTCCATTAACCTTTAAGCATTTGCACTGATCATCTCCTTCACACAATATTTAACCATCACATGGTAGACTTTCATTATTTTAATATATAAAGTGTCTTAGAAAGCAGGCTAACTGAAAGTGTTTTATGGAAAGATAATTTTACGCCAACTATCCTATGACTTCTGCAAAAATGTAAAGTACCCTAAGTTCACTTGAAGAATATTTTGTTCAATGTGTTGGAAGCAGGAAAAATGGGCAAGTGAAAAGATCTGTGTGACTTTGACAAGGGCCAAACAGTGATGGCTAAATGGCTGGGTAAGTGCATCTCAAAAATGGCAAGTCTTGTGGGGTGTTCATGGTATGCATTGTTTAGTACTTATCAAAAGTGGTGCAAGGAAGGACAACCAATGAACGAACATGGGCACCCAAGACTCAGTGTTGCACGTGGAGAGCGAAGGCCAGACCATCTGGTTCAATAACACAGAAGAGCTACTGAAGCTAAAATTGCTGACAAATTGAATGATGGCAATGATAGAAAGGTTTTAGAACACACAGGCATTGCAGTTTAATGTGTATGGGGCTGCATAGCCACAGACTGGACAGAGTGTCCATGATGACTTTTGACCACCCCCAAAAGCACCTTCAATGGGGAGCTGCAAAACTGGACCATAGAGAAATGGAAGCAGGTTGCCTGGACTCATGAATCACATTTTCTTTTAGATCAGGTGGGTGGCAGGGGTGCCACTGCATCATTTACCTGGGGAAGAGATGGCAACAGGATGCACTTTGTGAAAAAAGGCAGGTCAGTGGCAACATTGTTATGTTCTGCTTGGAAACCTTGGGTCCTGGCATTCATGTGGATGTTACTTTGACACT